GGGGGGGTCTGCATATCTAGTAGTTATCACAGTGAATAGAATTGTGGCACTAGGCTTAGGTTTGGTTGGTACATTTAGAATAAGAAAACTGGGCAGTCTTAGTAATTGGTAACACAATTTGTGCTCATTTAAAATTGTAAAATATGCTTATTTCTCAGGTGGAAACTTTAATTTGTTGAAAATCACTTTACAAAATCCAAATCACTTCCAAATAACCCTGACTAGTAGATGATGAATGAAACAATGAATGAAATAAATCTAGCACCTGGTAACCCTGCATGAATTGTTGTCTCCCTTAACAACGTGTCATGACGTTACCTACCTCTACAACAATATTTTTCATTCCTCAGTAAGCCGCGTGACCGGATGTGGAGGCAATCTGACGGGTCCCTCTGGAGGCTGGAGCTATCAAAATTTCTATGGATACAGTGAGACCTGTGAGTGGTTGATCACTGTACCAGAGGGAAGCATTCGTCTCACGTTCGACAGTTTCGACATTGGTTACGGTTATGAGTTTCTAACCATCTACGATGGAACCAATGATGATGCTACACAGTTACAGAGGTAATGTTGCAAACACTTAACCAGCAATCTCACATGGACTCTACGAGCTAATTGGAAATTACTTGTGGTCATGTGTAGTAATTCGTCAATTTTCTGTTGTAAAGCTGGTTTATTACCTTAGTCGTGGAGGTTAACCCTACCTAGACCGGGGGGGGGGGGCTAAAAGTGCCCGCGCCAACTTTGATGTAACCTAGCGTCTGAACGGCTAGCGCTAGAACGGCCAAACTTGGTGACTTTTCCTAGAATATTGTTGGCAATAATTCTCTATCATTGGAATAAGATAATGATATTTTGTGTTGCCGTGGCAACGGGTTTCTGACAGACATTTTTTGCTAAATTTAGTCATTTTTGTTTTAACAATAGAATTTTATGGGTTTTATGTCAAGTTACTCATAGTTTCTAATATTAATAACATCTTAGATGATTTTATGTAAATTTTATCATTAACTATGCATAATTCATGTTAATTTGATGACTTCATTGGCCAAAATGCAAGATGGCGGCCATATCATTAGAACAGCTATATACAGGTTATTTTAAAATTTCATCAATACTTCCATTTATTTTTCCAAAAAGGGTTTAAATGAAGGTCTGTTTACAATTTTTAAGGCTTTATCATTAAAAAAAACATTTTTAAAAATTTAAGATGGATGATCCAAGATGGCGGATATCTTAAATATGCATGACGCCATTTTATGACGTCACTGGTGTTGCTATGGGCAACATAAGGCTTAGTACACACTAATATTCTGTCATAAACACTTTTTGTAAAGATATGTTGTATACCATTTAGTTTTCATGGAATAACCTATTTAGACCATTTAGTTTTCAGGGAATATACGGTTTTGGCCAATAAAATCACACCAATGACGTCTTAATGACGTCATATTACGTTAAAACGACATAAAAAAATGTAGGTATGATAAATTTTTACTAGCACACCATCCTCTGAAAATTTGGTGGTTGTACGACATACCGTTCGCGAGGTCTGAGGGGGGGGTCA